TTTTTATTGAATTAAATAAATGAAAAATATATTATGATAATAAATAAGTTTTAGAATATAATATTAAATAAATAAATAATATATATAAGTACAAATATAATCTTATTATAATTAAAATTGTAAATTAAGAAATTAAGAAATTTAGAAATTTATAAATAAAATAATTTTAGAAATTTAAATGATATTTATACATATCATTTTTCATTTTAATAAACTTTTTCATTTTAATAACATATATTGATAATACTGATTTTTAAGAAATTTAATAAAAATAGTTGAAATAATGTTTAAATGTTTAAAATAATGTTTAAATAAATAAACTAAATATGAAAACGTATATTTTTTATTATTTTTAGCTATTAATATTGTCTTAATTGAATTAATTTATAAATATTTAATAATTTATTACCTTATAATATTGTGTCAAACAATAAGGACACTTTTGGAATTTTTGATCAATATCTTGCAAATAGCCTTGTTTTGGTTTAATTTCTACACAAAATGTTTCATTAGTTCGAAAAAGATTTGTATCGAATTTTGTTCGAAGGAATGTGTAATCTGGAAATTTGGTGGCATATGTCTCCATAATTTCCTTATTACGACGTTTATCTGAAAATAAAAAAATAAATTTTTGAATATAATTCAATTGATAAAAAATCTTATATTTGGATCAATCTTACGACAAAAAGAGATCAACAAAAAAAAAATAGAAAATTAATTTTTCATTTAAAAAAGTCAAATTTTGACTAAAAAAAGTTCTATATTCTATATTCTATAATTTTTTTTCATGTTCTATATTCTACAATTTTTACACAATAATTTGGCATTTTATTTCATATTATTGAAATGTAAATATTTAATGTTTAATATTATCTCATTTGGGATTATATTTGATTATGGGATAATATCAAATATCCAATAAATTATATATGGGCAAGCTTATGAAATCTGCACAAACATTTAAAAATCCTTTATTAATTTTTTTATTAAATAAATTACAATAAATTTTTGTACAAGTTAAAATAATTTAGAATAATCTAAATTTTTTAAATAATTAAAATAAAATAATATTTATTAAAATATTTTATATATTAATTTTAAAATAATAAGTAAAGATTTTATTTTTTTTATAATAAATTTTCCGTTTCTTTGATATAATTAAAAAAACTGATAATCACACTTAAAATATAAAATCAGATTTGAAAATTTTCGAAAAATTTTATTTCTGTAAGCGAAACAATTTTTTTAAAGAAGAATATTTTCATTTTTTGATTTTGTAAAAATGTAAATTAAGATTTAAAAAATGTAATTTAAGATTTCTAATAGTATCTAAATTTTTGTTTTGTCATTTAATTTTTTACTAGCAAAGAAAATATATTAGACATCTATTTTGTCCTACATTTTTTTACATAACTTATTAACAAATCATTTATAAATGACAAATTCTAATTTAACTGTACTTCATAAATAAAGAGGATTAAATATATTCAAATTTTATTGCTTGTTAAATTAATTAATTTTCTTTCAAATGATAAGGTAAATAATTTAACAATAAGTAGAACGGAAGAAAGTTGTTGATAAAATAATCATAAGATATGAATATGAAAATACATTTATATGATGCCTGATGTACATATATTGTAATATTGTAGGATAAAAATTTTCAAAGTGAAAGGTTCATTCTAAACAGTAAAGATATAAAAGCGGAACAGGATCAAGAAGGTGAAAGGATGTTATAGCAAATTTTCAATATAAATAAATTATACACAAATGTAATTGCAAATTCACTATAATATATTCAGTTTATTTATCTATATTAATTTACATCATTATTTGCTATTTATATCATATGTATACAAATCAGTTTGAATTATTTGTTATAATAAAAATTTTCAAAATCAATATTTGATTTAAAATAGAAAATGTATTAATATAATATATTAATTTTTAAATATAATATAATATAAATTATTTTAAATATTATATTATTTATATTAAATTAAAATTAATGAAGTAAATTTTTAATTTTGAATATAATTTTGAATATAATATGTTATAATTTTAATTTCATAATTTCATAATTTTTATATGTAAATATTTTATATTGTTATTATTTTGTTGTGTTATTGTTTTAAAATTTTTTAATTTATACTTTATAGTATATACTATATCGAGTTTTCCATATTAATAATAAAACTTATATAAATACGAAATTTTTTGAAAATCTTCGCATAATTATAATTTAATTTTTATTTTTTTTTCCATTAGAAGAATTAATCTGCCAAGAAGTTCAAAATTTATTTTTCTTTTTTTCATATTATATTTGTTCATTTTTTTCAACAATTTTTGTAATGTGTGTATGTGTGTTATAATTTTACTTAAACCAATTGTAGCTATTTAAAAACATAAATTATTTATTATTTTATGTATTATTTTTATTTAAATTATATCACTTTTTAGATTAAATAATTAAATTATTCATGATCATATATAATTTTTATTTTAAAGAAAGCTTAATCAATGATAAATAATAACAAGATATTTTGTTATATTTAATATCGTAATGATTATCAATTGGATTAATCGTATATAATATATTCCAAAAGTTAATTGATAAAGCTTAATAAGTGATTCAAAAGTGATTTCAAGTAATATTTTCCTTTGTGAAAATTTTCGTTTTGGTTTTGTTAACGAATTATTAACAAATTATTAATAGCCAATCACAAAAGTTGAATTCGAGTCCAATGATTCGCTAACGCGATAATATATATATATGTTATTCCTATAACAATGCGTTTTTTAATTGACTAATATTTTTGATTAATAATTTTTTAAAATCGAAACTTTAAATTTTTTCTAAAGAAAAAAGTTATTTAAAATCAGTAATTTTCAATCGATTTGTAAGACATTACATATAATTTCTTGAAAATAGAATTACACGAAAATTCAACATTACCTACTGTTTGTATTAATGGATAATATGTAATGGATTATTTATCATATATCATTTTTTATCATAAATGATGAAATAATAAAATAGTGTTTATTAAATTATTTTGAACTAAATAATTTAAGTATATTAAGTATATTAAGTATATTTATATTTTTTATATAACAATCTGCCAGAAATATAAATATACTAATATATTTATATAATGGAAAGAAATTGTTTTGTATGTAGTATAGATGAATTCTATACTTTTAGATTCCTAGAGATCTATTGGAAAAACTTTCCATAGATTCTACACATTAAAAAAGAGTCAAGTTTGTCAAAAAAAAATATATATCTCATAGGAATATTGACAAAAATTGATATTGAAATTTTATTATTCAAGAGTTAAAATTTATACTATAATAATTACATATTTTAAATTGAAATGTTATGTTATTAAGCATAAAAACAATCATGCTGAAAATGTAAACAAACAATTTACTTGTATTGTTTTGTATTTGCATCTTATATTATTAATAAATAACGAATATTAAAAAAAAAAATTTAAATTTGCAAAAATTATAAATCATATAATTATAAATCATACAAAAGAATAAGTATTTTTAAATAATGTAAAAATATACAAAATATATTATAATAAATTTAAGAAATAAAATAAATAAATCTTTTTGCTGTTTTTATTGTACACATTCAATCATATCGTTCTGTAACATTGAATTAAATTTAGATTTTAAAATTGTATCAATATTTAATAATATCGTTAAAAATCCAATACATAACCATATTGTAGAATATAAAACTGATGATTCAGAATATTACAAGTTAAAATTGTACATGCAATATAAATTATATCACTTGGTAATACATTTTTAAATACGAATAAATGAATATTATAATTTTAACTCTTGAGAGATCATAATATAAAAATACAAATCACTTTTTTAGAATATAAAATATTAAAAAAAAAAAAAAAAGATTTTAAGGACTATTAGTGTTCATTAAGAACAGCAAAAAATATTCAATCAAGATAGATCCTGTAGTCAATCCTTTCGATATAAAATAATAAAAATCGATTTTTATCATTCGATATGTATGAGTCTTTTTTGCAGTACATTAAATATAAACAGAGAGGTCGATTCAGGAAAACATTAATTCAAAATTTACAATATAATTATTATTAATTACCAATATTAACTAATATTATAACAGATACTTCATAAACGCGAACAAACTAAAAATTATTGGCATATAAAAAATGCATATATGTTATTTTGAACGAATAATAAACAGACATGAATTGAGTAGAGACTTGAGAATAACGTTATCCATATTCAATACTAAATGAACATTTGCACTTTATTTGCGTGTATGAAGTAATCTTTGTTAATGTTAATTAATAGTGATAATAATAATTATGTTAACAATGCTGCTTTTTAATCAATTTGAATTAATTCGTTTAAATTTATTTTAATATCGCGAAGAAATTTACTTACAATGTTGAATGTTCAATGATAAAAATCGATTTTACATTAAAAAGATTGATTGCAAGACATTGATATATTGATTGGACATTTTTTTTTTTTTGCTTATTAACAAATACAATACAAATTTTTTAAAATCTTAAATTCTTTTTTTAACATCTTATATTATAATTTTTAGAACCGTGATTTTTTAAGAATTAATATAATATATATAAGATATCCTAAAAATAGGAACATCTGTTAATTGATTTCTGAACAATTTCAAGCAACATTTTCTTTGTAAAGATTTTCATTAACGAGTTTGTTAATAAGTTATTAATAAAAAACATTAACTAATCATAGAATATGTAATTTATAGTATATTTATAGTATACGACAATAACGTTGGCTATATGCAGTCGACTGAGCATTAACAAATTCAAACAACATATATCGAAGAAAGTATATATTATAATTTATTTATTGCTCATGGTATAATTTGATAAATAATTTTTTCGATAAAAAAATATTTTTTATATTCAATACATTTTTTCAATATATATTACTTCAACTTATTTGTATTCGGTCGGCGAAAATTTTCGCAGAGAACAAAATTCAAAATTATTTCAGGAATCACTAATTTTAACTGATTTCTAGAATATATATCCTAGAATAATGTATAAAATTGACGACAATTCATATTATAAGTAATAGTTGATGATTTTAATATAATTTTTTTTTAATTTATTAAACAATAAAACAAATAATCAAATAATAAAAATAATGCGCATTATTGAAAAACAAAAATAAATAAAATAATTTAATGTTATATCAATTCAATGTTATATAATGTCATACAAAAAATAAATATTTAATAAATATTTAATAAAAATCAACTATATAAATTTAAACAAATTTTCTTAATTGAAAGAAGAAATAGCTTAATTATAATTAATTACAAATATTTTTATTTTGTCAAATTTTATAAAATAATATATCATTATGAAAAAAAATATTAAATAAACAAATAAATATATATAGAATTTTATAACTCAAGTATTAAATCATATATTTACAAATTAACTATCACTTAATCATTAATAAATCAATGAGTTCATGTTTAAAATTTATATAAATTAAAATTTATATCATAATATATATCTACTATATTTATTATTATAATTTTTAAAATTATAATTTTTGTACTTCGATAATTTTTACAATATGAATTATTTTTTTATTTCTTTCAATATCATATATTTTTGTTATCGTTTGATGTTTAGTGGAATTGATTTAAAAATTAAAATAAGATATAGTATTTCCTTATAATACAATTAATAAGTGTTATAGTCATAATATTCATTTATCTAAGTTTTGAAATATATTGTTATTGTCTGACTTATAGACGGCAGTGTATCTCCGACGATATAGCAGCATCGCATGTATGCATTTTGTGTCACAATTCACTACAATCGACGCAGTCGCAATTCCAATGTTTAATGTATCGTTGCATATCAGTCCGTACGCATATTTGACAATTTGCCGCAATAACGGATTCAGATTTCAATGAATCTTTGGATATTGAAATTTTTATCGAAAAAATTAAAAACTATCTAGAGATTTGAAATCTCGCAGAATATCATGACAAGAAAAAAAAAGCGTGGATAAATGTTTATCGTTTTCTGTAAAAATTTTGATGAAAAGAACGAGATTCGTAAGAATGAAATATGTAAGCAAGTATATTTCATTATTATATACTATACTAATGTGAAAATTTGCAATATGGAATATATGGATATTACAGAATATTACAAATTATATAATAAAAAAAAGTTAATTTATTTAATTATTTTTATTATTTAATTATTCTTTTATATTATTAAATTATTTGATAAGATTTGATAAGATTTATATTTTATTATATTTAAGTAATTATATTGTAGCAACTTAATTTTATTATTTAATAAATAGAATTGAATTTTGATAAATAGAATCTAATAAATTTGGAAGTTCTAATGGATTTGATTTATAAAGATTTAAACTTTTTATTTTAAATTATATATCTTAAAATTATAAGATTTTATTTTACCATGGTTTTTGTTAAAAAGATTATGATAAAAAATTAATATAAAGATTTTTCTCAAGAATTAATTTTTTCATTTAAAAATTTTAGAAAGAAATCCGAAAGTGTTGGTTTTTTCAAGCATTCGGAAATTATTATCACAGTGGAATGAAAAAATATTGATAAATTATTAACAAATTATGATATTACTTTGAATTATTAAAAGGTGAATTAGTCTAAATTCGAATTGCAGAGATAAGATAATATATTTAAACATATAGCAAATAACTCAAGTTAAAATTATATGTACGACTTCTAAAGATCTAATGTTATAGAGGAGCAAATAGAAATGAAATTATAATTTTATAGAAATTTAAGTTAAAGGGATTCGAATGTATAACAAAAAAATCGATATTGTTTTGTTAATGAATATATTTTATTGAAAACAAATAGAATACAACTATTTTGTAATTTTTTTATATTTCAAAAATAAAGTATACATACAGCTTATTTATTTCTTGCTTCTATCTATGATATTGAATAAAGATATTCTTAAGATATCCTATTTAATAATAAGTCCCCTAAATAGATTTTTTTTTTTTGCGATAGTTGTATATTATACAACTATCTTTGACAATATAATGGCATCTTATTTTTGCGTGCATTTTAAAAAATATACGATTGCTGCATTCATAATTTTGATATTTTATTTTATATCAATCATTATATACATCCTTGATATTAAATATTTGAGTCTCAAAATGATTATTTTTTCAAATAGCCTGTCTCTCGAAATAAAAATTTTTATTGAAAAATAAAAATTAATAAAAATTATTATTAATAAAAATACATATGTATATTTAGAGTTTTGAAATAAAACTACAGAAGAATGCTACGATAAAATGAGAAAAAATACTTGAATTTGTCATTTTTTGAGTAAAAAATTTGATATAAAAGAAGAGAAATAAAAGTGAAATACATTCATAAATACAAAAATTAAATTTTCCACTTGATAAGGTGCATACAAATAATATGATGTTATTATGATTTCGCTTTTATAATTCAGCAGGTTAACATAAATTAAGTTAAGTTAGATTTATATTTTTAATCTATAATGATATTGTTGTCACATTCCTCGGCATGCATTTACAAAATAAAGTTAAATGAATACAAGTATATTATATGCATATAACATAGTATACTTTGCGATTCTATTACGATATTTTTATGCAATTGCGCAGATTTATGTTTCCTAAGTGTTCTTTATACGATGAGATTTATCTCAAGACATGTCTCGCGGCTAGCATTGAGAACAAACCGAGTCTTAAATGTATTTTATATAGAACAGATTCAAAATGAATGTGAGTAATTTCGATTCTATTATTAGTTGCGAGATATATCGAATCTATGGAATGTCCTTACGACTCAATATAGACAAGCGATTTTCATCTCGTTACGATAATGACTGTGTAATTTAGGTAAGTATCAAAGGTTTATATTTATATTTTTATATATTAGTTTATATTTTTGTTATATATATATATAATGTTATAATATGTATAATCAAACTATGGAAATAAAGATATTGAAGCATATTGATACAAAAGATTCTATTGCAAATCTGCAATAGAATTACATTGTTTGTGTGCTAATCTGATCTAAATTTAATCTAAAATATTTGTCAACGTAAAATATATCACAAATGAAAAATCTTTATTTTGGAATAATTAAAAATTAAAAATAAATATAATATCCTATCTTATTTCCTAGTACTTTAAAAAATATAACAAAATTGAAAGATATATAATTTTCTTTGCTCTTTAAGAAAAATAAAAAATCTAAATTTTTAAGACGAGACATGAATTAAAAAAAAAATTGAGAAACATTGATTTAGTTTAAAGTTAGTTTGTAGTTTAGTTTTAGTTTTGTAGTTCTGTCCATAAGATAGATGAATTAAAATTAACTAATTAAGATATACTATTAATATATATATATTATAAATATATATTTTATATTGTGAAATAAAATTAATATTTATTATATATATAGTATATTCTGTTGAATATTTGAATATTTCACGAAGGATTGAATAATCAACAAAATGTTTAGAAGTGTTAAGAAGAGTTATTTGCTATGAAGAAATATTTTATGATGTAAAGTTTTTTGCAAGTAATGGCGGAGATTTTAAAGTCAACTTCATTTTTTGAAATGAAATCGTATGATTTTAAATATGTTAATCAATTTATTAACATTTCGCTAATATCATATTTTAAGCATTCTTTATAATGTGTTTGAATATATTATTGAACATATAATTGAAATATATTATTGAAGAGCTAATCAAAAGTGATTATTATTATTTTTCCAATCCCTTGAATTTTTTAATTGAAATTTTTTTTAAATCAATAATTTTTCGACATAAATAGATTAAAACTTTTTTAAAAGAAGATACTTAGATAAATCGATTAATGCATTCAAATTTGCACCTTATGATGCAATTATTTAAACGATTTTTGTTAAAACATTTAAATATATTTTTTTTTATTGAACTTTAATTCCTAATGAAATATTTATATTCTAATGAATGTATTTATTTAAACGAAATATTCTGAATAATGTTAAAAGTATGTAATAATTATATAAATTTTTTTATGTTATAAATTATATAATAAGAATTTTATTAAAAAATATATAAGTAATTTTATATATTTTTTTTTTCATACAAATATAATTGTCTAAACTAATAGCGACATTCTTTTTATTAATTTTTTAAATATTTCTTAAAATATATAGTAATGTTTTTTCAAATTTCTTATAATTTCTTTTTTCAAGCAATGCAAAGAATTATTGTCTTTTGAATTTTTATTATATCTTCAAATAAATTTAAAACTGATTATAAATTTCATTGCAATTGACAATATCAATTTTTTATTTAGTTTTCTCCACATATAAACTCATTTTGTATTAAAAAATTCGATCTCGATTCTTTACTTTATTTTATAATATTTTTTCCTAATCATTAATACTTCAATTTTTATATTTTTGCTCATTCTAACCATTTTTTTCTTATTTTGAAATCTTAAATGTGATTTTCTTAATATGATAATAATATGATAATATAATATTCTTATAATAATAGCTTGCTGTTTGATTGTCGTCATCTCGATTTGATATTTTTATTCTTTATTAATTTCTGCGGCAATTTTTGTTGCTATTAACTTTCTATTGCATTTATTATGTTTGTATGTTTATTTCCTATTGTTTCTTTCTTAGACGTACATTTTTTCGTACATGAATTATTAAAATTTTCTGATCGTATCATTATAGTAATTTTTTTAAATCTTGTTTTAAGAATATCTTGTTTTTGCAAGACTAATAATAATCGAATGTTTATATCAAATAATTAATTCTTTTTTAGAATTATTTAATGTCAATCAAATGCATTGTATAATTAACAAAAAAAAAATCTATTGTTTTTTTATCTCTATTCAGTCAGAAATCTCCTATAAAATATTTATGAAATCTATCAATACTAAAATTTATGGATAAGATATTCAAGTTTTTTATAGATAAATATTTGTAACTGTAATTGTAATAATTGTAACTGTAATAATTGTAACTGTAATAATTGTAGTGATATTAACTCATTCCTTAATATATTTTGGATGCTAATTATTAATGTATTTATAAAAAATTATTATTAATTGTTATTAATGTATTTATAAATATTAATATAAATAAATGTATTAATATATTTGTAACATATTATTGGAGAATCGATTTATATCAAAATAAATACAAAAGTTGATATACAAAAAATTTGATTGACTTATTTATTAATATAGTAATTAGAAAAAAATGCAACATGAAGTAAAACAAAAACATGTCAATAGAGAAGTATTTTCGCTTCATCCAATGTAAACTTAAATTGATTATAATTTAATAAATGAATCTTAACCGATTATTTTTGTATATTCACTTTCATGTTTGTTTTGGTCTCTAAAATTGACCCAAAGATGTTCCATGAATATATTAATACCATGTAAACAATTGATAATTACAATTGCATGCTAACGTATAAAATGAAAATATTTGATTAGTAAGATATGAATAAACGGTACTCAATGTACAGTGAAAAAAAATTGAAAAAGTTTTATTAAAATTTTGGAAACTATTTGGATTAAAATTTATATATTATATATTTATATAATTATTAAAATTTTATATATTTTATATTTATAGTTCTTCTTTTTATTACTTAAATTTTAAATCAAGTAATCAGTATTTTTTGGAAAAAAAGTTAAAATAACAATTTTCAATTTATTATATAATTTTATTATAAAATATAATAAAATACATATAATATAAATATAAATAATCATAAAATCAATCCAGAAAATTGTTTACATTTTAATAATCATTTTCAAATTAAGCAAGTGTGCAATAATTTATAGATGAGATTGTACGTATTTTTTGTGACGGGAACGTACGATCATGCGCATTAGAAATGTAAACTGTTAACTCATGCAAATAATACTGCAATAAAATTCTAATAGTGTTATATTGTTCGTGCGTATCTTATCCAACTTATAATTCATATTATGAATCTGTTCTGGTACTATGTAGCGATCATACGAAAAAATCGGACATATGTATACAACGTATGT